TTAATATGAGATAATTCTCCCTGAAGATTTCAGCTGGTCATCACAGATTGGACTTTTATTTATTAAATCTAATGTCAAAAAAAGAAAAGGATATATAAGTAAATGTTTAAATGAAATTGGTGTAAAAGCTCTCACTGCCTACTGCTACCTTGTTTTTAGTGTAAATAATAACTAATTACTCAAAGTGCACTTTAATTTTGAATTTTTACTGTTAAATTTAATGATGCTTCATTTAAAAAATTGAATTTTGGGTCATTTTTGTAACCAGTTTTTACAGCAGCTGTATAACATTTTTACAAACTAAACAAGTGATGACTCATATACGATGACAGAGGTTTTATTCTTGCACTTTTCTCTCAATTAGCCACTAAAAACTGACTCAAGTGCACAGTTTGAGCTTTTATTTTCTTGTTATTTTCCTGGAGAACGAGAAAAAGGAGACGAGGCTTTGCACCCGAAACATTAAATGTCAGTTTACTTTCATTTAAGTTAAATCACGGTCTCTCCCTGCAGAAAACAATCGGAAAATCCTCTTATAACCACGTGGATCCAGAGGGGGAAGTGAGATTTCATACTTGCATATATGAGAAAAATAAATGGGAAATAAATAAATGAAAATAGAGATGGCAGAAAAGTCCCTTAATTCTTTAAAGGACTGGCATCAGAGCTTTGATAAACATCTAGTTTTACATCGTTACATCCACCCAGTTATTTACAGTAGGTACAACGTTTGTCATCAATGTTTTAGTAAGCTGAAATAAAATACTGTCCACTTTGTTAGGTACACCTGTTGAAGTGCTAGTTAGCACAAATATTTAATCAGCCAATCCCACGGCAGGAAGTCAGTGCATGTAGGCATGTACACGACCTACCGAGCATCAGAATGAGGAAGAAAGGTGATTCAAGTGACAGACTGGCTAGTCTGAGTACTTCATGGATTGCTACAAAACCATTTGTAGGGTTTACAGAGACTGATTCGAGAAAGAGAAAATATCCAGCATCCAGTGTGACTGCTTCAAGCTAATAGGAAGGCAACAGTAACTCAAATAACCACTTGTTAAAACTGTGGTATGCAGAAGAGCATCTCTGCAGGCTGAATCTTGAAGCAGATGGGCTACAGCAGCAGAAGACCACGCCGGGTGCCACTACTGTCCGCTAAGAACAGGAAATTGGAACTACAGGTCACACGGGCTCACCAAAATTAGATCACAGAAGATTGTTGAGAAACATTGCATGATCTGATGAGGCTCAATTTCTGCTTCAACATTTGGATGGATGGGTCAGAATTTGGCATGTATCTGACCCAATCAATCCCTTTACGACCACAGTGCACCCTTCTTCTGATAGTTGCTTTCAGCAAGACAAAGTACTGTGTCACAAAGCTCAAATCACCTAAAACTAGTTTCTTGAACATAACACTGAGTTTTGTGTATTCAAACAGCCTCCGCAGCCATCAGCTCTCAATCTGTTGGAGCACCTCTGGGATGTGGTGAAACAGAAGATTCACGTCATGGATGTGCAGCAAGTGTGATGTCATCATGTCAATATGATGAGGAATGTGTCCGGCACCTTGTTGAATCTGTGTCATAAGAAATTAAGGCAGCCATGAGAGCAAAATGAGGTTTAACTTGGCAAGCTGTAACTAATAAAGTGTCCCATCGCCTGCTGTCATAGGGTGAAGCGTTACTGGTCTGTTGGAGTGCTAACACAGAAAGGCAGACAAGTATTCACACCTACCATGAGATGAACATGATAATGATAATTAATTATCACTAACATGATAATTAACCTGACATGCACGTCTTTAGACTGTGGCAGGAAGCCCAGAGAGAGCTCACTCCGACACAGGAAGAATGGTGGATGCAAATCCACACTTAAAGACCCCAAATGACTCGTGGATTCAAACCCAGCCCCTTCCTGCTGCGCAGGTCTGGTCAACTCTCCTGAAATCTAATCATTCTTACTGGTATACTAATAATATTTGTTTCCAGTGACTCAGCATGTGTGGACAATGCCAAAAGATAAGACGGTGGTTCGTATTTGGAGAGGCGCAGATCCTCCAGTGCTCAGGTTTAAAGTTATCATACCGTGCCTTCATATCTTTTCCACACAGGTGATTTTTTTTTCCCTTAGATATCTTGCCATCATTCATCTTCTATTAGACGCCTTCCTTCATTTTACCTCCATACTTTTATGCATTATGTTGCATTCAGGCCCTAGAGAAAGGATTCCTCTTTTAAGAAGGAATTAAGAACAAAAGGAACCCCTCAACTCAACAACCCAACAAAAGAAGGAATGGAAAAAAAAGGAAGAAGTTTTTTTTTCCTAAGCAAACTACTGCAGACAGATTTTATAAAGATGATTACCGATCAGATATTTGAGCAGTTAGAGATTCAGGATTTTACCCTTTCTGCTTCAGCGTGTGCAGACTGTGCTCCATCACGTCACCAATCCTGCCGACTTCAGTACAACATCGAGTGTACTGTGCTTTCTGCACAGCACCAAAAACACCACCATTATCAGTTACAGACTGTAGCTCCTAGGCCATCCTCACTACAGCATAACTATCAGCTGACGGTCATCTCACTGCTTTATAAGCATCACAATTACACATGCACCACATCATCAGATTAAACACCACCTGATCCACCCTTGTCTTTCGGCCCTTCCTTTTCGGTACGTCTAGCCTCCCAGAACTTCTATTTGCTTTCTTCATATTTCTGACTAGCCCATACTCCTGCTGAATCCTTTTCTGGACTTCCTCGTTCCACCACCAAGACTTCTACCCTTTCGTCCTCTTTCCAGACAATGCACCAAATACCTTCTTGACAATTTCCCAGTCATCTGATAACTCTTCAGAGTTCATCTCAACTCTTCCCAGAACTCTGTGCAACATTCTTCCTTCTTTAACTTCTGTTATTTAATTTTCACTTCCTTTTCTAGCTTCATTCTCCCCTGACTCCCCTGTGTGCCCCTCCCTCCGCCCTTATATACCACCCTCTGTTCTTCAGTTTAGTTTCATTGAAGAGAAAAAGGTTTAAAATATAACTGATACTGTTAGCCTCAGGCAGAAAGCGCTCACTTTTATTCATGAAATCCTCCTTTTGTTTGCTGTCTGTTGGTAGAAGTTATGTGTAGTTCGTCTGGTCGTTCTATAGGGGGCAGCAGCAGCCGCACCCATATTTGTTTGTACCCGCAGCGAAGAAGAAGAAACCACTAGGACAGTGGAGGGTGGAGGAAAAAAAAAAAAAGCGGAGCAACTACTCCTGTTTACAACCACATAATGGAGTCCAAATGGCCAAATACGATTCGCAAGCGTATATTATTTACTGGATTTACGCTTTGTGTTGTTTTGGGTGAGTGTTGAAGCCCGGCTTGGGTTAAATTTCCATTTGTAAACGTTTGAGTTCATTATTTTAGGTGGGATCTCAGGTTAGCAGGCTAGCAGCGTTTACACCTCTATTCCCAATCCTTTAAGAGTTAACACGCCTTTCTTCAGCCTCGTAAGCGAGAAACTATCTTTAACACTGCCCGGATTTTTTTTTTTTTTACTGGGATATGGGTTAGAGACTCCACCGTATGTGAGAGACAGTGTTACAGAAAATGCAATCTGTTAAATTCACTAAAACCTGAATGGAGATTGGCACAGGATGGTGGCTGCCGCCCCTGGCCGCGTCGTCCTGCGGAAGGTGAAGGTGGGTTCAGGCGTGGAAAGTAGCGATGCTAACCAGCTGTTTAGCTGAAATAAGAGTCCCTGGGTGTTTTAAGACCCATGCCGATTTGATTTAAATGTTCTAGTAAGGCAGGAGATATTTAAAAGTGTGCGCTGTCGTACATGTAACCAGAATTTAAAGTAAAGCCGTTTAAACGCTGATTTCTGAATAGAGCTTTTGTTAGGCGTGTGTCTCAACGGTATTTACGTGTCACCTGTGAAATGTCGTCTACTAATAGAGCTACCAATCAATTCTTATTTTATTTACATAATCGAACAGCACACTAAGACAGTTTTTAATCTGCATGCAGGTGGACTAGCACAGCATCCAGCCCCCGCGATAACGTCTCATTTCGTCGTTTGCTAACCGTATTTTGACCCAGATAACGAAGTATGTTGGGTACTAAACACTGTGTACTTAATGGTACACGTAGCATCACAACGGCAGGGACATGATTTTTGCGCGAAGTTTCGCTTTGGATTGCCAGATTTGCGTCACTATTTTTTTTTTTTTTTGCTTTTGGCAGGAAGCACAATAGTGGCTTCGTGTTGTAACTACGTGTTACTGCAGCTGCCTGCAAGTTGGTGAGAGGCACGGACTGAAATGACCAGGGGCCCTCTATCTATTCAGGCACAGGGTATATGTGCCCTCGCACAGTTTGGTCGCATAGTAATATAAAAAGCTGTGAACTACAGCACTAACTTGCATTCATTACTTTGGCTAAGCCGTTTTGTGCTATACATTTAGCAGCTCAAAATGTGCATCTTAAGAAGGAAAACATACACTTTAATCTAATTTATCTGTAGTTAATTTTTTAAAACATTTTTAACATCCTGAACATTGGAAAAATTATATTTGCATTCAATTTGAGTAGTTTTAACAGTATGTGTTAGGAAAGTGTTGACTGTAATCCACAATTTAGTGTGTATACTTCATCCAGGTCTGAATGTGAAAGTATCAGTTTTTCTCTCAAGATAGTTCTTATTTGGAGAAAGCAAGACCAAACAGTGTGGAGCTGAGAGGGATGTTGTTTGGGGTTTAACTGATTTAAGAAAATGCACCGTCCAACATTTCACATGACAAGACAGTTTAAAACAAGTTTTTATGATCAGCAGGTTTCATGGGAATTTAGATCTGTGATGTGGGTGTAGTAAAACTAAATAAATGACAAATGACATAAGACCTACAAATGAACCTTATGGTGTACCATAAGTTGCATATTCTTATTAGATAATTTTTTGGGTTTTTTTTTTCCAAGAGATAAAAATGAAACCAAGTGGTTTGTCCCTGATCCCAACCCATCTATTAAAATCCTAGAATCTGTTGTATTGAAAACTGCTCTTATGTCTAAAAAGATATAGTGGCCTTTTATGTTGTTTAAAAGAAGGTGTTTGGTTACCTCGAGGAACCTCTTTTCTGTGCTGTGTAGAGCTCAAAAACCCTATTGAAATTTCTCCAAACTGCCATTTAGGCACACAAATGCTAAAGTGGGTTGAAACCACTGTTTCGCAAACTTTTGATGAAGGATGAAGAACTGAAGGATTGTATTTAACAGTTAACATCACTGAGACAGCACCTAAGGTTTTAGGATCACCAGGTCTCACGGATATATGCTAATGTTGTTGGTGTTGCATTGAAAGAAGAAGTAATAAGAATAAGTAAATGTGGCAGTGAAACTTAATAAAAGTGACCAGCTGGAAGCATAAAAACAGAAAACACCATAGGACCTAAAATCGAACCTTGTGGTACACCACAGTTAATGTGAGCTGCAGATGTGTGAAGCTTTTCAAAAGAACTGAATCTCTGTAATTTGTGATTAAAAATGGTAGTTAAGAAATTGGTCCGAAGTTATTAAGAACTGAAGGATTAAGATTTAGTTTGTTTAAAAGATGCTCGACCACACTATAATGAAAAAGCAATGTATAAAGAGCGGTTAATAATCGATAAAACAATGATTTAATAAGGTTTGTGAAGAAAAATGTTGAACATGTCTCTGCCATCTAATATTTAAAAAGGCAGAAACAGTTTAAAACGGCAGCTTTTAGGATGACTAGGTCAAAGTATGTCTTTAATGCTGGTGTACAACTGAAAGAAGAAGTTCTAGGTTCACAAATAGAAAATTACACCACCTAAAAATTGAACCTTGTGGTAAAGCACAGAAAGTATGAAGTGCAGATTATGGAGAGCAACCTTTTTAAAAAAAGATAAATTCTAAACTCAAACACTAGCAGGTTATCTTCTGCATAATCCAGCTGTTTTTTTTCTTTCTTTTTTTTCTGTAGTTTAGTTTATTTTTTTCACTTCAAATTACATTTAAATCATCGTTAGATCACTCGGCTTTTACAGGCTCAACATGATCTGGCATTTTAGAAAGGATGTGCATGAAATTGCAAATTAGCCGGCTCAGCAGTTGACTGTCACTTTATTTGATTTTGGACAGGATGTTTCTGTGAAGTGAGATTAAGAGCAGAAATCACAAACAGTTTTGCCAACCTTAAAAACAACTTTTAAAACTGTTTCCTGAAATTTGAAGACGGAAAACAGTGTTCTGCTTTGAATCACAGATATCATCTGACAAATACTTCCTTTCGTTTTATAAATTATTGTGAGATTGCCTCAGCAGTGTGCTGACTATATGCTGCTCTAAGAGTTGCTTTTGTTTTTGAAGCACGGTGTTTCCCCGAGTCTAAATCTGAGACTTGGATCTAATGTCTGCAAGAGGCTGAGGCTACTTATTACTCTGTTGCTTTTATACCTTGGCCTGCTAGCTCTTCTGATTACAAGATGTGGAAGTCACGTATCTCTGTTTGCTAATACTTGTGTGGCTCGATTTGTATATTCATAGTTCTATCAAAACCTTTCAAGGTGGCAAAAAGGTGAATGTACTGCCAAACATTTCCTACTCATAGCTGCTATGGTAAGGTTATTAATCATCAAGCTGTGCAGTCAGTGTTTGACATTTATCACACAGCCTTTTAAAGAACATTTGTTGCATTTATTTGTCTCCAATGTGTCCAGTATTGCACTGCAGTCTTGTTTCTACAATTTATAGTGTAAAAAATGGTTCTGATTTGGTGTTGAAGGTTGTGCAGTTAGTCAGGGTCACATTTGGGTATCTATTTTCTCAGCTATAAGAACAATCAGATTGAGTATCACATTATCTGATGCAGGTTGCAATGTTAACTTGAATTTAACAGATAATCTAATCTGGTCTGAGCAGTTTAGGTTTAAAATTGGCACCAGGTGCGACATTTTCACTAAATCATTGTAATAATTATGATCAAAATAAAAAGTGCTTTCATTAGCTCTGTGTTCATCGCTCTCTAAGAAGTCATACAGGCCTAGAGAACAGTTGGCAATAATCTGGCAACCAACCATTTGCTTGGGAAAAATGTGTGTTCTGCAGTTGGTTGCTGGAGGTTGAAATCAATCACAAAGCAGGTGTTGCAACAGAAATTTCCCTGTGGTTGCACCTGGTCACTAGCAGATTGCCACAGTCACCGACAGGTCGATGAGTTACACGCAAGTCATCAACTTGTGTGCAAATATTCGTCAGCTACTAGCCGAGCGCTAGTATGACTTGAGAAAGTGCAATCCAAAGCCGGAAATGGTGAACACTGACTTAAAAAACCAGAAAAACAAAAACAAAGTAGTGCCTTATTGCCGTAGTCATTTCAAAAGATGGAACTTTTTGCCATGTAGTTTCACTATGTCTCAGAGGGTATTCTTGGCGAGTGTTTGCAGACAAGTCTGCATACCAACCACTCACCTGCTGGTTGGTTATACCTTTTGGAGCTGGCATTGCACCTTTTTTTTTTCTTTTTTTTTCTTTTTTTTAGGGGGGGTTAATGTGCTGTGTTACGCTGCGGCCACTGCAGCTAGGTTGAAGACACAAGTGTACGATTGTGTTGGTTTTTATTGTATTCCAGTACAAGAGCTTAGAGATGTACAAATATACAGAGGGAGATGTTACAACTGTGGAAAAACCTTGCAAAAGAATACTCGGCAAAGTCTCGCGGACCTACGTTTACACCAGAAAATCTCTGAAAATTAATCAGTCTTTTTGTAGGATGTTTTTGGCTAAAAGTCTGAAACTTCAGTCTCTTTATTTGCAGCTTCAGTGCTGCGTTTTACAGTTTAAAAAATATTCTTTATATGTCTTTGTCTTATATCTTTATCTTTGTTCCTTTTGATAATGTCTAAATGAAGCAGGCTCTGTCACGAGAGTCATGTGACTCTTGTGACAGAGCCTGAAGCAGGAAGCCTGGTTTAGCAGAGACTGCTGATAATCACCATTGTGATACCTTTTAGGTTGTTTCTGAGCAGAGAAAGCCCGTGTTGCTCAGTTGTACGTCTCTCTTTACATTATGCACAACATCAAACACCAAGTTGCCTTTGATGCAGCCATAAATATGGGAATTGTGGATTCTGGATAAATGAGCAGAGCTGTAAAACCATCCGTCTGTTTTTCCGGTTACGTTAAAATAGTTTGAGTAATCTTACAGGTGGTTGGATAAGATACCTCTTTCCACGTCACAGATTTTAGCCTGACACGGACTAAAATCTGTGTCAGGCTTGTCTCGCTGCCTGTGACCTCACTTCAGTTGTTTATTTAGTGCTCTGACTCATACATGTGTTTTCCCACACAGAGGCCAGCTAAGAGCAAGCAAGAAGTACTAAAACAACGTCCAGCTCTACAGGACAAGCGTGAGGAAGTTTAGAAGGGTTCAAAGATCAGTGGCATGAATGTGTTAGACCGTAATTTATGATTTTGGGGCATGCTCATAATAATTGTTACTACCACTGCAGGGTTTGGACAAAATCATTTTAATTAGGGACACTTGAATATTTTAATTCAGTGAAATTAAAATTTAATAGGGACACATGTTTCTTTTTCTTATGTGTATGTGTTGTGCCCTTTGTGTTGGGGGAAGCAAAAGAAATCTTAATTTAAAAAAAACCCAAACCCTTCAGCTCAGCACAGTTTAATTCAGGTTTAAGAATTTAAGAATATTGACTGATACAGACGTTTGGCTGACGAAGTTGTCCGCCCTGTTTGATCGATGGTGCCATCTGCGCTAATACCAATCTAAGTTTTTACATATGTATGTGTCATGATGTCAAAGAAGTTATTTTAACAACTTCAAACAAAGCAAAATATTTTACAAACTGTGAAAGAAAACATTTCCTGCTAGAAGTGGTAACAACACTTACGGAGTTCCTAACCTAAAAACTAAAAAAATATGATGTAATTCTAAGGTGCATTGACCACACTAACTCGTGCAGGTGAAGGAGGCACAGAGGAAATTGGAAACATGATTCAGAGTTACATTAAAGAGATTGAAGACCTTCGGGCAAAACTCCTGGAGAGCGAGGCTATCAGTGAGAATTTGAGGAAGAATCTGTCCCGTGCCTCCAACCGTCAGTTGTTCTATGGAGGGTCCAGCTCCTTTCCCTCCACTCTTCTGGCCCCCGAGAAGGAGACTGCTAACATTATCGAACTCGCTAAGAAAGATCTGGAGAAACTGAAGAAACGAGAAAAGAAGAAGAAGAAAAGCGTCAACAAAGAAGAAGTTCCTGACAATGAGCAAGACAGATTTTGTCCCTTTTTATTAATACTGTGGGACTGCACCAAGCTTCCGATTATTAACTGATGATTAACAAGGCTATTATAGTTAACTAAAACTAAACCTAAAAATTACTTATGAAAAAAAATAATTAAAACTAACTAAAAACCATTTTGGGATCTTGGAAGACTAACTACAAAATAAACCAATAGCCTTTCTGGATTGTATACCTGCTGGCCGTGGTGTTGGTTTAACCCCGAACCCTTGCTGCTTTGTGTGCTTACACTTGTTGTTTTGTGTTCACAAACAGTCACAAGACCCACGTCTGCGATCGAGATACACGCTGATCCTGAGGTGATAGTACAGAACGGTACCACGGGGATTCTTCGATGCACCTTTAGGTCCAGCGAAGTGGTCAGCTCGGCCACCACGGTGACCTGGAACTTTCAGTCGAGTCATCCCGACAGTCAGTACTACAAATCTCCATACGTGGTAAGTCCCCGCTGGTTGTGTCAGCTCTGGAAAGATTTCCCACAGTTTTTAAGGATGTTTTCCTGCGATTGTTTTATCTGTCGTGACACAAGAAGAACGGATTCGGCTGTTCCCTGAGGGATGGGTGAGAGCACATTGTTATGATTTGGTTTCAGTAGGCTTTCAGTTTAAGCGCCAGCCTTTTTTTTTTTTTTTTTTTTGCAGCTGCTGTTTGCTGTTATGGATCGATACAACACAATGTGTTTTTCCTTTATGTTTTTTTTTTTTTTTTTTTTCTAAAAATATATCAGGTACAGTTATACTCTCTCCATGTACTGTCTTTACATATCTACATATTTGTTTTATCTAATTTTTCCGTTTGCTTTCATCTGTTTATGTTCTGCTGCTATCTTGCTTGAGCATCGTAATTGGATCCCGTGGTATGCTTTCATTTTTCTCTTTAGTTCTTATAACACTGTGTCGACTTAAATCTCTTTGTAGACTTTAGTTTTCAGCTACATATTTTTCCTACAGTGTTATTTGTTACTGCTGAGAATTGACTTGTGGTGAGTAGCTTGAACTTATTAGTGTATATTCCTCTAAAACGCTTAAGCAGCTAAAAAAAAAAAGAAAAGAAAGAGGGATGTTTGTGTGGATCATGTCCTATCTACAAAGGCGTTTTGTTTACAGTCCAGTCAGGCTGGGCGGGGCCTGTCTGTCTGCTGTGATCTGACTCATGCATATATAATGACATAGCTGAAGGGCCTTTAATTTGCAGAGCAGTCATGGCAGAACACATACACGCAGTCTACACTTGGAGCATGTTGTAACATCGAGCTGTGTATCTTAAAACCTCAATCTCTCTGACGTTTCAGACCCGTCATTTGCAGAATAAATACTTCTCTTCCTACAGAAATGATGCTTGTCCAAAAAAAACACCAAAAAGCTAAGATAAGGGAAAGCTGCTCAGTGAAGGAAAAGGGCTGTGCAGCAGTAATGTTGAAAAAAAAAAAAAAGGTCTTTCTAGTACCTCAGATATTCTGTGATTAATCCAAATGTCAAAATTGTCCAACATACTAAGCAACTGTTGTCATTAGAGATGGCAGGATACCAAAAATTTGTAGTTGGTGCATGCGTTTCAAATTCTACGCATTTCAGTACAAAAAAAAACTAATCAAGAGTGACCTACTTCCCCTGTAAACATCTGCAGGGCCGTCTTTGAGCTGCCTAGACAGGTTTGAGATGTTCCCTCCTTTTGTTTAAGACATTGTGCAGTGAAAGAGGTTCAAAGTTGGCTTGAGACCCAAACTTGACATTAGTGAGCAGCTAGGAAAACAAAGGGGACATGCAGGAAACGGTCCAGGGCGTCAACCAATAAGATTTTAAATTTAATTAGGCTGCATTAGTTTTGGCTTTCGGTGATTTATAAAAACAAAATTGCTGGGATAACATGATCATTTTCTTGCTTTCATTTTGACTACAAAGGAGAGCCTTTAATCATCGACTTCCATCCAGAGAAGAAGTTGTCAATCAGTACTGTCTAATGTTGCATTACTAACCCTTAAAAAATCTGAAATGAGCTGCAAGACAAATTGAAGCTACAGCTACAGTAACACAGCTTTCACCATTACTGATTGGTACAAATAATTACATTACAAGTTATTTAGTAGTTTAATGTTGGATTTTAATTACATTAATGCTATTTTTTGTTGCATTTATGTTTATAGAACTACAAGAATGAAACTGGTTTACTGCTTTAATTATTACTAATAAAACTGAATAATTGTTAGCATAGTAAATCCTTTATAGTTTGATAACAATATGAAAGCCACTTCAAGTTCTGTCTGTTTTTCTACAAAAGAATCAAATTATCTGACATCAACTTGAGAGAATTCTTTATTTATTTATTGTTGTGTTAATTTTTGAAGGTAAAGAAAAAACCTCAGCCATAATAAAGAAAAGGAAAACTGCAAAACAAAATTTGGGATTGCAGTAAAGAAGAAAATCTAGTTGAGTTGTGGCAAAAAAAGTTGTGTCATGTCATCGTGACTGAGCCAAGGCCAAAGACCAGAGAAACAAATGACAGAGGAAGAACTCCCGTCTATGTTATAATCGTAGTAGCAGCAGCAATAGGTTCAGTAAGTTCAGTATCATCATACAATTCACATACATGATGCTTGATGTCCTGTCAGTTCCACGTAGCACAGTGTGGCTGCAGTGAAGACTGTTCAGTGTGTAGGTGTCTTATGACAGCTGTTGTTCCAGTATACAGGAATAATAGTCACAGCCAGGAAACCAGTTTGTTTGACCTCTTTGTTTACTAAATTATGGAAATTATCTATTAATTTATCTATGTCAAATATAAGAACAATATTGCTGCAGTGTCTGCAGTGTCCAAAAAAAGTCATTTTATTTAGCACATATGAACACCTTAGATGTTGACCAAAGTGCTGGACGATGAGTAAAACCCAATACAAAAAATAAAAGGACAAAAAAAGAATAAAAATTATAATTTTAATAAATACAAATAGAGTACAAATATAAAACGATGGTAAGAAAGCAGTAAATATTAGAGATTTTTGTTCAAGTAATTGTCAAAAGAATGTATTATTATTGTTTTTAGTACCTGGAGATTTGTTTTTTGTTTTTTAATTATTGTACACTTTATTGCATTTTGTCTACATGTCTGTTCTTTTACTTAATCTAGCATTACTGTACTTTTATACATTTTATTTAATAGTAAAAGTCCATGTTACAGTATTGCTTGGTCTGTTTTTGCTATTCGAAAACAAACACATTTAATCACATTGAGGGGAGAAAAATGTGGGATTGTTTGATCAATAAAATCAGGTCATTTTAGCCCGTTGCTCGGTGGTTGCTAGAGAACACGGCTGATCTAGATGAGAACCTTCAGGGGTCGGAGATGTCCCCATTTATACATGAGTACATTTTCACCAGCATTTCCTTCCTTTTTGTAGATTTTCTACTTTACAAGTGGGAGAGGATTCCCAGGGTCAGAGGAGTTCAAAGACCGCGTGCAGTTTATCGGGGACATCAACAAGAGGGACGTCTCGATACAGCTGAGCCCAACTTATTTCAGCGACAACGGCACGTTTTTCTGTGACGTGAAGAACCCCCCAGATGTGATGGGGACGCAGGCTCGAACCGAGCTCAGGGTCGTGCTGAAAGGTGAGTTTTTGTCAGATTTACATTGAAATTAATGCACCAGAGTTAAATGTTGGAAATGTAGAAAATTAATAAAAAGAAAAATCAGTGACAGGTTGAGTTAGTGTGGCTGGGAAAGATGTCTTTCTAAATGCCTCCTGCTACTCTGCGGCCTTGAACAGACACTCGTTAGTTGTTTTCACCCACTCAGCAGGGCTCTGCTCACACACATGCTGATTGGATGGCGAGAAAACACAGTGTGAGCCTCTGCGCACTATCGCTTGTGTTTCCAGGCAAAGAGGAGACTTTTCTTTTTCACTAGCCGATCAAACATGATGGACTGGATCGTGGCCATCTTAACCACAGTGTGTCGATTGCACCACCTGTAACAAGTTAAATCCTGGACTACTTAATGGTTTATCTGGGAATGCTGTTGCGACATGCTTTTGTACTACTTGCAGTTCAAACCGGATTAACTGCAAACTTTCTTTGAATCTCCTGTTAGGCATCTGTAAACATTAGATCCATATCGCCCAAATTCAAAAGATAAATGAAAGACTGTCAAGAATAAAAGTGCTACTCTGCCTGCTGGCACTAAACAGCACACAGTGACGTATTTAGCTGCAAAAATGCTTTTCTTTTTTCTTATGGGCTCACATTTATTCCCTCGCATGCCATAAAAAAATCCCTTATTACACGTTACAATTGAGCATTATGTTACAGTGTTGTGTGTTCATATTAGATGTGGGTAAAGTTATGATTAATTAAAGACAACAACGGAGAAACAATGTTTGGTGACAAGCTCGTTAGAGATTTATTGATGCCATCCTGTTACAGGAAAAGGACGTTACCTTTGGTCTTTCATGAGAGCAGGTTTCCACTTGCATTGGCATTTTTGTGCATTGCAAAAAGGGGCACACACATACTGTTTTTATATGCTGTGTGAGTGATGGACTAAACCCGTTCACTATGTCCCTCGACAGATATTTGTGTTATTCTCTCTCATATTCCTGATCAAACTGATTTGTAAAGTTGCAATTGCCAATCAGGAATGAAAAATGCAATCATTTTCTGGCTTTACCCCATAATTCACCAGGTTTTTGAAGCCCTTCACGCAACTTTAAATCACACCAGGAGTATTTTAGCCTCTAGAGTGCATTGCGCCTTTTATGGACTGCTCAAATCACAGAATGTTGACCACAAGAACTGTGATTTCATCACCGAGTGGGTGTGACCACTCTATTCCCTGCCAGAGAGATAGTATTTGGGTAACTGGGCAAGAAACATTATCCATATAGCCCCGAAAGCAGCAACAGGTCCACGGCCTGATTGTCTGCTCTGTCTAATAAACTGCATGTACCTCAGCATATCTCTGAATCTTGTTGTGACTAGGTCTGTCAGCCAGGGTTCACATTGTAGTAATCTGAGGTGGAAAATTGCACTAAAATAAAAGCCTTTAATGTTACATATACAATTTTCCATTATCTTTGGCACATCAATGGGCCAAATCCTGTAAAAGAAAAACAAAAGGAAAATAAAGGAAACTATAAAAAGTTGTAGGAGAAGTAGATCAGATGTACATTTTTATGATTAAAATGATCACAACGGTACATTTACATACATAGCTGAGGTAATGAATGACTCCATTTGATCAGTTAAAGGTGAAATTCATTAAAGGTACAAAATAAACACATCAAATATCATCAGTTAATGAGAAAAGACTAATAAATGCAAGCTATTCAAGCACATATGGCAAATCACTGCACAACCACTGTTTGTGTTCACTCAGCTGAAGACCACATGTGATGGCTTGTCTGCTTTACATGTGGCTGCACCTTTTCGCAGGTTGGGGTTTTTCTTTGTACCAAACATCTGTATCTAGGAAGCAATAAAGAGTCTAAATAGAGCATGTGTGTTGTACTCGACTATGTTTTAGCCGCAGTTTCTTTTGGCTCTCACAATGAGCTGCCTTGGTATTGTTCCAGCTTTTGTTGCTCAGCTTTCAGTGATACGCCCAGCTGTGTTCTTGGTTTCCAGGCCCGGGGGTTCAAGTTTTGTGCTTTATTTATGGTAGCATAACTGTATTTATATATGATGAAGGAACCGAGTCAGCCTTGTGCTCACAATCTTATTTTTGTATTCTGAAATCTACTTTTTACTTTGAAATTATTATTCGCACAATTCTGTTTATCTTCACACGCTTTGGCTCTAACAAAGAGCTGCCTTAGTGTGGTTCCAGCTTTTAATACTACTGGATACTCAGGTTTAAGCACCACTCCCATCTGTGATGTTAATTTCCAGGAATGGGGTTTAAAAGTGTTTTATTTATAGTAGCGTAGCTTTATTTACAGTGACTGGGTGATGTGGGTCTTTCACATGAAGTCTAATTTGTTTTAGTTTGGAGGACATTCTGAAATCCATTATCAAACTAAGTAAGATGAAACTCTTTTGTTCTGTTTGTGTGTGTAATATCCGTACATTTCACAATGTTGGGCAGTTTTGTCATAATCTGTGAGTAATTAGTCCAACATTTTTGGAAACTCTGGACCACTTTAAAACATTACAAAATAGTCTGTTAGTTGACTCAAGACTTTTGCACGGTCCCGCAGAGCTGTTGGCCCTGCGCGTCGAAAGAAGCCAGTTGAGATGTTTCGGGTATTTGGTTAGGATGGCTCCTGGGTGCCTCCCAAGCATGCCCAACTGGGAGGAGACCCTGGGGTAGACCCAGTACCCGCTAGTGAGATGCCCTGAGAAAGCCTCAGAATCCCCCAGGATGAAATGTTAGGTGTGGCTGGGAATGTCTGGAATATCATGGATGGGTGGACTGATCCTGAATGTTCTTCATTGTGTGTGTGTGTTTTGTTTTGTTTTTGTTTGTTTGTTTGTTTTTCCCCAGAGTCTTATTCGCAGAACAACACCACGCTTATAGTTGCAGGAGTTTGTGGTGCTTTATTGGTGCTTGTGCTGATTGCTGTGGCGGCCTGCATTGTCATGAGGGTACTTCACAACCGCCATGATTACGAAGGGTAAGTGAGCCGTTCAACTTTGCGCTGTTCCAGATTACCGATGACCTCAACTACAGTGAAGCTGCAAAATTTTCAAAAGTTTAAAAACTATATTCAGAACCTAAAAGTAGCTTCACTCTCAACGCCAACGTTATGCAGTTTTAAGCTGAACGCACATTTAATAAATGTAACACATATGTACACGTGATAAAACAACTATTTGGTGATGCACTCATATATATCCAGACATAGTCGCAGTCAAACTCTTGTTAGTTTATTTATTTTTGTTCTTAGCAGCTTTAAGCTCCATATTTATATTATAGATATAAAAATATAAAGATACATCATGAAGAGCAATAAAGTTTTTGAAGTTGGTAAATACTGAATACTACAATTATATGATTTACACCTTTATATCTGTACTAGTAGTTTCACTATAAGTGTGACACTATCATTATATTTAAGTATGAAATATTGATCTTGTGTGAGCGATGCATACGTGATAATGATGTACATTTTTCTGACTCGCCAACTCTACTAAGATTTTTTTTTTCAGTAAAATTAATTAATTTCGTTCTCAATGTGACTCAGTTACTGCAATTACTTTTATCAGTTTTCTACAGAAAGTAGTTAATAGTGAATTTTGTGTGTTATTTAGTTATTTATTTACCGTTATGAACCCAGATCCATGCAGGGTCTGCAGGTGTTCATAAATACAGTTTAGACAGTATTAAAGTTGAACATTTCTAAAAGATTTGAGAATATTTTGTCTTGTGTGCCGCAGACAGTGGTTTCACCTGTAAAATCCTTTATATCTACAGCTGTATGAGATGTTTTAAATCCATAAAGTAAGTGCTTCATCCGCACATCCTGTAACAATAATGATAAACAGCAAGTGGTATTTTAATTAATAGCTAGCAACGAGAATATGTTAACGTTAATCTCCTGTGAATACAGAAAAATACCCCCACTGACTGACTGAATTATAACTGAATTATAATTGGGTTGTTTTCTTTGGTTATTTGTGTCTGTTGATAGTAACTTTACCTGATTTGTTTGATGTTTAATGCTCACATTATGTATTCATTATACTGATGTGAAAATAATACTTGATGCTGTTAAAATGAAAGGTAAGTTAAACAGATGATACTGGTTTCCTGAATCATTGTTTTGTTTTCAGTAATATTTCACTTGAGAGGTTGTTTTTTTTTTTCCCGTTAGACCCTCTGTATAGCTCTAACACTTTACAGTATCTGGTGTTTGGTGGGTACTAATTATTAACACGTTTGTTTTTAAAAAAAGTGTCCACTCCAGACTTTGCATGCCTGAGGTATTTTTGACCACGTCTACCTCGCATGCCATAGAAACTCTTTCTTCATCTGAGGTATAAACAAAAGAGCCACAAATCTGAGAGATGTCCCTCTTGTCCACCAGGAAGGTGTCAATGAGAGGCCAGGTCTGATATGCTGTCTTTTGAGAATTGGCCCACATTTTTAAAAGGTTTGAACACTAAAGGTTGCAAAGCAGAAGCTGCACTCGCTGAGAGGTCTCTCTTGTCAATGCAGCTGCAAATTTCTTGTTGATAATTTTGTGCTCAACCTTGAAATTTGTGGAGCCATGCCAGTGCTAATGCTTTGTGTGGAAACAGTTCTACTTCAGGCACCAGCACTTGCTTCTGACTGAGTAAGAAAGAAAAATCTGGCACCTTCTGCTTGGCTGCTGAGTGGGTTGAGCCTGTGAGCTGATCTAACAGGGATCTGTGGGGTGGCTGTTTTCACTTGGTGCCAGTCATTTTTTTTCCCTCCATTAAATTGTATTAACACCACTAACTTCACAGCAACACCTTCTACAAGCATGTTGAGCTTGTTGCCATTTAATCTAGACATTGTCGTTTAATGCATTTATATGTAATTAAGTAACCTGCTTACAGTCAATGTCTCCTTTAGGCAGATTTACTGTCTTTAGAACAGCTTAATGTTTAATGTTAGACAGGATTAATGTAGAGCCATTAACCTGCTATGATACCTACACTAACCTATCCGATCATCCTGACCCTCATTTACATAGAATAAAGAATACTTTTAATTAATTACCGATGTACGCAACATATATTAGCTGAGAAGATAAAACTTTAATTCTTTAATTCACTTTTATGACTATTTTATAAATAGGACAAGCTAGAGGCAGCCTAGTCTCCAGGCCGATGGAAACCATTTAAACATGTAACCAGGTTATTTAACTGTGTAGAACTTTTATCCATCGTTTGCCACTAACATACAAAACTAAACGGTGTCTTTCTCATCTGCTTCAGTGAGACTAACCCATCGTCAGCTTTTTTCCCCTCATGAAACATGTTTATTTGACAACAGTATTTACAGATTTATTTTTTGGCAGTGTTCAGTCATCTTAATGGGCTGAAATTTTGGCCTCTCATTGTTCATTTAGCATTCATGTTGTTATTTTCAGGTAAACTGCCTCTCTCCCCTGTTGCCTTTACTAGAGTTGCACTGATTGGCTGCTTGACTTAAAAGATTTACAACCCTTAGACTGAGAAATTAAATTGGATCAAGTAAGCATTGATTCAAGCACAAACGGATTGGCATTTTATTGTTTTGTCTGTTTTATATGTTATAAAATAAATTAAAATTGAATATTTGTTGAGAGGTTTGCTTGAGCTACTGATTAAAATCAAAAATATTTGGTTTTCTCTTCATACTGAGGAAGAAATAATAAAACTTAGTATAAACATTTAGATTTATAATCTTTTGTTGATGTATTAACTGATCAATCAGTCTTTGCTTTTATGTGATTAACTGTCATTAATTAAGATATCATTACAATAGAAGAGCATCTAATGACTGGTTATGTTATATGTTTGCACTAACTTTTTGTAAAAGTATTATTAATTACTAATATTTATCCATAATTTAGATGAGCATATACTCTAAATCAAGTAATTCAGATGCGGTACAGTAAGATAAACAATGGAGAATGTTAATAAACCTTATTGGGTTAATTTCCATTGTTGTACTTCTGCTCTACATATTAAAACAGTTGAATCAGTGGCTGTATTTGTTGCCCTGCTCATTACATTACATTCAGCAATACTGGTAGTTTTAGTGTTGAATGTTGGAAAATACTAAATATTTGTACAGTTTTCTAGAGCCAAAGCACAGACCTTCAGATTTCTAGAAAACAGTTTTAATTAGTTAAATAAATTAATTTTATTGAGCCAAGAACCTAATCCGTAAGCCCTCAAGTGGAATAAATTCAGTATCAGAGAAATCACCAGGCTTCACATTCAGATTATAAACCACATATTACAAATGATAATGTAATATAAGATCTCCCACATGGTCACACTGGGGAAAACTGGTCGGAGACGTGCAGTGACCCAAATTATTGCAGCTCTGTGCAGTGAACTTGCAGTCTCGTTGACCTCCTGGAAAGAGATTTGCAAAGACACTAGTTGGACTCATCAGTGCAAACTTACTTTGCTTGATTGCGATGGGTTGGCAAGCGGTCTGCATTTATAAATTAGATGACAGTAATTTGCAAACCTTTGCTAATCTGCCTGAAAGCAACTGCAGTCCGTTTGAGTCGGATCACAATTGTTTGGAGACCAGTTCTCCTACAGATGAGCTGTGCAGTTGGCTTGCGACTGTAATTGTTCCAACTGCTTGCAGCTGGTTCAATGCAATCACTAAGCAACTACGAATATTTTTGTAGTCAAATTTTCAGTCCTGTTTTTTCATACTAGTGTGACTGAGCCACAATTATTACCTTGTTGTTGTTGTAAAAAAAAAAATTCAAAACCGAAAAAGGAAAAAATGCAACTATCCCACAGATAAAACTAAAACAGCTAAACTGTTATGGGTGGAGATGGAGATAAGGTTTATCTATAAAATTAAAGAAGCTAAATTATATTACACTATGAATTAAGTACAAAATTATAAACTGTAACCTTTGTGCTAAAGAATCAGTCATAAAAATATTCATCAAAATATCTTAATTTGAATTTTATTTGATTGCAAATGTGCTTCCAAAATTGCACACCCACCAATCTGATATGGTCTAAATCCCATCGGTGCACCTCCAGTCGGCGCTCAGCTGCAGCATTCCATGTTCTCATGTCTCATGATTTTGTTTTTGTCTTGTCCATTATTTGTGTTCGTCTCACTTTGACTGTGCACCAATGATTGCTCGACTCCGTTACACCTAAACTAGCTGTACGTCCTTGGAAAGCGTGAACTCTCAGGCTCCACAGCCTCGAAAGAAGGTGGAGTCCAGAGTGGAGGGCTCCAGATCTACCAGTCCCTCGGGTCCGCTACAGGTATGAGTTGGGGGACGAAGGGAAGGACCAAAAAACCAGTGGCTGCCTCTGTTTTACTGGAAGGTGGTCACATTTATGTGGACAACGTATCCAAATACAACTGAAAATAACTTTTTATCCATCCGTAATATTTAGTTCTGATTTTATATGAATTTCATTTGGTACGTAATCTTATTTTCAGTTGTTTCCATTCATGTTTTTATTGTTTGGCCAAAAAAACAACCTAAAAGGGGGGGGGGTATTAAGAAGAAGTGAATGAGAAAAAAATAAAATAAATAATGGATTGCATTTATATAGCGCTTTTCGGGACCCTCAAAGTGCTTTACAATTCCACTATTCATTCACTCTCACATTCACACACTGGTGGAGGCAGCTACAGTTGTAGCCACAGCTGCCCTGGGGCAGACTGACAGAAGCGAGGCTGCCATATCGCGCCATCGGTCCCTCTGGCCAACACCAGTAGGTGGTAGGTGAAGTGTCTTGCCCAAGGACACAACGACCGAGACTGTCTGAGCAGGGGCTCGAACCGGCAACCTTCCGATTACAAGACGAACACCTAACTCTTGAGCCACGATCGCCCCAAATGCTATTGTTAGTTTACCTTTTTAGACATGAACAGTTATTTATCAGGTGTTGCATTTCTTGTGTTTAGCTAATAGACTGAAATTTTCTCATGTGTGTTCTCCCTTTATTCATATTTCTCAGATTTATCAGCTGAATAATTGATCTGTTTTAGCAAATCAAACAGTCAGCTCACCCTGAGAAATCTTTAAATGGTAAATGTCTTAATACTAATAATAATACGACAGAGAGCAGAACTAATCTTCAAACCTGCGAGTGAATTTTGCTTGAAATGAAACAAAACAACAAATTGGATTTGATTTCTAAAGTGCGAGTGAAAGGCGGCAGAATAATTTAACAAAAACTGAAAAAAGGAGATAAAATGGAAAAAAGGTGAAGGACAGTTATTTACAGACTATAGAGTCCCCCACCCAGTGGTCACAGTGAGAATTTATTTATCTATTTTTAATCTTAGGGCAGATTTTGACTATTTATTGTTTTTAGTGAAGTGTTTCCTCTGAATAATACATGAAGGCGGAAAATATTTTTTAGTTTCTGCTATATTTAAATGTGAAATCTCCTTTCATCAAAATCACTTATCCATGATAATAAGTAATATTAGAAAAATCAGTGTCAAGCACAACTTTTACATTAGTCTTAAGGCCAGCATGTCATCGGTTTTATCCTGATCAGCCAACCAACACTCAACAATTTTAGGTTTACTGTCCAAAAAAAACCAAACTTATTTTCTCAGTAATAGTTATGTTTGTTATTATTATTATTTTTTTTTTATTTTAAAAAGAAGACTAGACTATCCCACACAGACACGGGACTGCTGTTCAGTTTTCGAGTCTCTTAAAGCGTGGGGTGTTTTTGGTTTTGTTTTGGGGGTTTTTCCCCTTTAAATTGATGTTTTGATAACTTTTGCTCTACTTTGCAGTACTTTTTTTAACCCTCACAATAACGTTTGCATTTCCTGTGACCCGTGCAGAGCCGTTTTTATGATACAGTATCGTGTATTGTGCAGCACACGTTCCCAACTTGCGGCTGCGCGGGCACCGGTCTGCACCATTTATATTTAGAAAGGGAAACAGAGGAGCTGGTTCACCAGCTTTCTCACTGAAAGACGCTGTCACTGTAATTATGACTGCACCCACGGGATGACACAGCTGTCTCTGCGGCTGTAGTCACGGCTGTCACACTCTCACTACACTGTACTGTATAGTCTGCGTGCAGTGATGATCCCGTGGCAGTCCTGCACTTTTGTGGTGTATTGGTCACGCTTCTCTTTAGGAAGCACCCAAGGCTCTAAATCTCAATCACGGCAAGTCTGAACGATTACCACGGCCAGCTGTAGCTTGCCCCTTAAAATCATCTTAAATGCAGTAAGATGAGATAAAATATTCAGCATCTATCCCAGAAGTTTGGAAACTATTGTATCACAGCTAAAGCCTATCAACCGAATACAGGTATCAAAACATGAGGTGCTAAAGAGTTCCTCTTCCTGTCTTTGTGAGACACATGTTAAATACTTGTATATCGAGTGACACTCCATATTTTGGCAGTGTAATGTTACTATTATCATTATTACTGTATAACCAGTGCCAAAGCTGTTAATAGGAGTGGGAAGGAAATGTGGAAAAAAACTAATGTAAGCCACTTTTCAGAGGCCCTGTAATTGCTAAGTAATTATCCAAATATGGACTAATTATCTAAGCCTTTTTATCTGTGTGTATGTGTTGCCCTTACATCTCCACAGCTAAGCACTAATTAAGTCAAACTATAAGAAGCTGTTGTCTCCCAGTCAGAAGCTCCATTTAAAAAAACAAACAAACAAACAAAGAAAAACCACCTAGGTTTCTGACTTTGGGCTTCTTTAATCACCCATGTGCGTGAAGTGATATAAAAGTTGCCGTTTATTATTTGCTTCTTTCTGTATCTACTTGTGTCATTGGCTGACTGTGTTTCTTTCCTGCTCTGCATCTCATTTGTCCTCCAGGGCCCGGTGATATACGCCCAGTTGGATCACTCAGGCAGCAAAAACTCCTTCCATAAGATGGAGCCCGTGGTCTATGCTGACATTCGTAAAAACTGAAGAGGAACCGGGGACCAAATAAAGGAAAAAAAAAAAAAAGTAAACAAAAATCCAGTAAAATATGAGACCTCTCTATCAGCTGCTCTTGGGAAGGGTGGGGATATCTCAACAGGGACACAAGTGGTGCAGTTTCTCTCTCTCTCTCTATTTCTCTCTCTTTAAAATTTTGTCCTCTGAAAGCATGATGATATTATACGATAAAGTAATGTCTCCATGTGCTTTGTTGTAAAAACAAAAGAGAAAAAAAGCTATGAAAACACTCAAAGTCGATGTTCCACTACTCCGTTACATCAAAACTGTTCTCCAAAAAAAACCAGGGGCACACATAAAAACGAGAAAGCCTTCGGTTATCATTCCAAGTATTATTTGTTTGTTTTGTTTTTGTTCTTGTAACCCCCCCCCATTAAAGGTTTAGCAGGCTGTTGCACCAACTCAACAGTCCTACTTAAGATGCTCACACCTGAACCGAGTGAGCCCCGTTTAATAAAGCGAAGCGAAACAAAAAACATTGGTGCGTTAAACTGTTTCTTCCAGAGAGAAGAGACGTTATAAAGCAGATATTTGAACGATACTCTCACTGTTTGTCTTACATCGCCTTCTCATTCATTGATCACTTCTGCCGAAACTTTGGTGCTTTTTATTGGCCGGTGAGACTGGTCTGAAACTGTACAAACAGCAACATCAGTAAAGATCAAAGAAAATCTACCAACGTCAAAACCTCAAGTTACATCTTTTTGTTAGAAACGGCAGACTATAGTCGTCACAAAGTCGCACCTGTGCTCTCGTCTGATCCAAACTGTGCCGCATTTAGATCAATGTAAAGAGATGTAGTGTGGTCCAATGTGTGCTCACAGTGTTAAAAGTCCCATTAATGAGCCGGGCAGACGCTCCACCGTTTTATTCTCCTTTGTTTACGGGCTTCTGATCTCTGCGCGTCTCTGTCATCCTGAAAACCCGATTGGTTCATCAACAAGTCAGAGTTCAGACTGGGCAAGTTTTTCCTGTTCTGATGGGTCACTGTGTCACATTACATGATTATAGAGTCATAAAATCTTTCTACACCCGAGACGATGACGGCACTGAGAAGGAGGTGCTTGTAATTTCCAGGGTAGAAAAAAAAGTAAACACGTGGAGTCAACTGAAGTTGTGTGTATGACACACTATGACTCACTCCTTCAGATAAAATTTGTAACTTCTGTTCACAGAGAACAGCTTGTGCAGTGCTTTTGGACAAATTTCATACTTTTTTTTTTAAACTCCCATCTAAACGAGGAAAGAACCCCTGCATTCAGTGATCACTGGAATATTAAAAAGAACGTAATTTGTAGAATTAAAGCACAAATTTTACAAAATGTGAAACTTCAAGCTGCTCAGTCCTGATAGCTAACACAATGATCATCCCAGGGGAAGAAAAAAGAAAGTACATTTACCGATATTGTTTCTATGATAAAGAGTAAATATGTCTCCCAGCATAGTGCTGGTAATGCACAGCGTCAGTTTTTGTCAGTTATGCCGCACTGCATGAGATAAAATGACCAAAGTTTGTGCAATGTGTCATCTCAGATTAGAAAGTAATTAGGGGTAATATGTGTTGTCTGAACTCAAACCCAGTCAAATTAAAAAGGAAAAACACTACTTTGAGTAAAAGGATTAAATCTTTAACAGCAGAAGAATAACTTCTGACTGAAACGGCAACATTTTTTTCTCCTGGTGGAAGTTTAGACGTCCTGTAGTGTGAGTGAGCGGTGACCCTTAAAGCAGACTCGACCTGTACTGTAACGTCTGTCTGACTGCCTTCATATCATCGACTTCGCTAACAGCTGGTGCAACAGTCTGCCGAAGCCACGGCTCCCTCTCCATCGTCTGGCTCTTCCATAGTGATGTTGTTCTGTAGAGGCGAGTGATGTAGATGTAGAATTTTTTTGTTTGTTTGTTTTGTTTTGTTTTTTTACACCGCCTTTGGTAACTTTGCATGCAGATATAATGACATCTAAAGAATAACTTTGGTACTGCTCGGCTGGTTTATTTAATTTTTAAGAGCAGAAGCAGCCGTCTGACGTTGGTGTTACTGTGAATGCTTCACTTCTCTGTAAACTCCCGGCATGTCGTTGTGGTACCGGTAAAGACGCCGCATTTAGATTTTCACCTCAGTGGAAAATTCCGTACGTTTAAGTTTCAGTTGCTGTCACTTTTTTTTCTTTTTCATTGTCCCAGTTTGTGTACATATAAACACATGGACAATGCAACCCAGGTAGATTTATGCGATTTCTTTGTTTTTATTAAAGAGCCATGGGCAGTTTATTTCTTTATGTTGAAATATGCATGTTAGGTTCAATTGAGGTGAAAGATCTCCTTCCTATGAAAACTGGGCGATGTTATTTTGTGCAACAATACACACATTTGCATGCAATTTACTAACATAACACACATTATTATGAGACTATCCGTCCTCTTTTTCTTATTTATGCATAATATAAAGCTCTTTGTCAAACTAATGGGCCAAATATCTAATGCCAACACTTTCCGATTTCAGATGCTTTAAATACATTCCAAAACTTTTGTTTTCTTCCAAAAAGCCAAATTTATGTTGTAATTTCTTTGGTTTTTGTTAACGTGAATATTTGTGTTGCCATCTTGATTCCTTCAGCTTCGTCTTGTGATTCCAAATGCAGTAAAACTCCATGCTGACCAGTGTTTGTATATATTTCTTGCTCCTCGTGTAAGATATAGTGCTGTTATACTGTAACTCATTCCAGTGTGGTATGGCTGTGGATGTCTTTCCTGAGAATGGAAGCGGTTTGCTCGAGAAAGTTGGTGGCATGCTTTGTTTTTCTTACTTAAGTCTTAATTATTTGTCACCAGACACTCTGACACGTGCATAGAGCGCCTGCAAGAAGTGCCGCAACACCAGCCGGTTTAAAGGGCTCCGGCTTAAGTTTCTTCAGCCAACAGTCTGAGCAGAAAACGCTAATAAATGTGGCTTGATTAAAAAAGCCTTTAAGTCCATGTTTGTTTGGTGCAGAGGTATCCTGCAGAATAGTTTGGGTAGGCTTCACATTTGCTCTTAAAGCCTAAATCCTTCAAGCCTCCTTTTAGATGTTGAGATCCAGAGGAGTTACTCAAGTACGATACTTTTCATTTTATACTGATGAAGGGTCTGTATCTCCTCTGTCTTTTTGCAAAGACAGAAATTTATCAGCAAGGCTGTAAAGCTCATCAAACGCCTGAGACTAAAATGTGTAAGAGAAACCCAACTTTATTGACCTGCTGGGGCCAGTAAATAAAGTTCATTTATTGGAAATGGAGAAGAAATGTTTCCTGTCAGTGTAACTGTCGTTTAATCAGGGTAAAGGCAGCGCTTTGATGTAGAAAATAAGAGGCTCTGCAGAAACGTGGACCTGCAAGGAAGGCTGCCGGTACTGACGATGATTAATCACACTCAGTCACATAGAACCTGACTTGTAAAAATTTATATTCCCCAACTGGTTGGAGAGTGGTTGCCAGGTGCTGCACCACAGCTGATTGCTTTGGGTGCTATTAGATTGCATGGAAGACACCAACTTGCCTGTAACGCTCACTAAGTATTAGTGCAACTAGTGTTTGTCTTCAAAGTAAAAGTTGCGCTTTACTTTTGAAAAGTAAGGCACAACTTTTACTTTGAAGGTGAGCTTTCTCCGTTTCCAGTTTCTGTTGCGCTCGTCAGCTTCTGCACCACTTGGCGCGTACTTGTCGAGCATGTGTAGACAGTTTGGTGTTTTCTGTGCAGGCTAACATTGACCACAGCAACCTCTGAGGTTTTTGGTGCAGCACCATGTGGCTTTCTGCCACCACCCACAGCCAATGAACAGCCAGTTGGAGATTACCTATTTTTCCCTATTGACCAGTGATTACCAGGGGTTACTGACTGGTTTGTCTGCCCTTTGGAATGTGATAAATAATTTTAAAAGGCTGTTGAAAATGTACATACAATTGTGTGGACTGGATTTAACTTCATCTGTTAGATTTGTGCCTAATTGTGAATGTTTTCTTTGACTTTTGAAAACTAGTGAAGTAGTCTGGTTAGTTACCGGGGAAACCCTCGGGTAAAAACAGCCTAACTCAGGCCGACAACCAAGCCTGTGTTTTCAGGACAGATTTGACAACTGTGGTGAAAGAGGGTTTCCACAAGGAAGGAAGTGTTTGTTAGACCTCTTCAGATGTTTCCGTGTCTGCGCTGACACATAAAAGGGAAATTACTCACATGTTTTGTATATTTATCCCAAATTTGTGAAATCCTCTGACACAGCAGTAAAACTTAATGGGTCATAACCAACTTCAGGCTGAAGAAATCCAGGCTTTGGCCGCTTTGGCCGCTTTGACCCGACTGTGGTTGTGACATCACAGCCAGCAAGCACCGCGATGTCTTCCATCTTTTCCTCTCTGTTTCCTTTTTTTGTTTTTGGGTTGTTTTTTAAAAACACTCTTGTTTTGCAGCATGCATTCCAAACCAAAACGAAACATCCGTGTACAAACCGTCAGCTGCTGGTCGCTTTGCTCCTAATTGTGACTCGTTGCAGTGTTTAGTGCCGTTGTAGAAATCGTGATGTAAACTATAAATTATGAAAGATTTCCGATGTGACGGAGCTCGCGCGGTGGCGGCGTTTGGTGTTCTGATTGGACGCGGGTCTTAAAGTGCGTGCTCGGTGTTTATCGATGGTAAATAGTTGTGTGTTATTTGAGAATCGTTTGGTATGTTATGTTGTAAAATCTGCACTATGTCTGGCATAACAAAGACAACAAAATGCCCTGTGATTATTATTATTATTATTGTTATTTTCATTCGTCTCTGAATGACTTTGGCCTCTGTTTGTTTACCGTCTTTAAAACTGGAATGTTGTACATTTAGTGCCTTTTACATTTCATCAGCTAACTTGAACATCTGCTCAAAATAGAAATAAGATTCATTTATTTTCCTTTTATTGTATGTATTTTTTTATACACATAATATCGCCTCTGTATCCACTGTTCAAATTTTATATAAAACTTATTCCTGGCCAACTATCCATGTGTTTCTGTTTATTATTATATTATACTCACAAAACTGTTAGATTTCTCTTCCATTACTTTTCCCCCCATGAATATTATGTATGTTGGTTAGTTTTAAACTACTCTGTGTAAATATTGTGCATAAGTCTTGAGCCACCCCTCATTTCTTCATGTTTTGCTTCCATGAAGCCAGACTTTAATATTTTTAAAGTGGTCTTGAGCAATAGTTCACATACCTTTGTGAATTTCTTTGCACGTTGGCTTCTTTTTCACTCATTTTCAGTCCAG